CCTCCCCTCCCCACCCCCTTCTGATATAGCAGGAGGAATTGAGCCTTTCCGGAAAGGAAGGGTCTGGATGTACTGGCCAGAATCCTTTCCCTGGACTTCCCCTGAGGTTCTCTTTTCCCTCACAAAAGCCCCTGCGAATAATTCCCCCAGGGATTTCTGAGCAGTATTTATATTTTTCTCGGAAAAAACAGGGGGCGGCTCCAAATTCCATTATTTGAAGTGCTTTTGACTCAAGACTCATTTGGGTTCCTGCTCATGTGCTTCTATTCCCCCCAATACACTGGTCCTGCCTGCTCAGGAAGATCAGGAAAAGCAATTAGAAGCCACATAGCTGAGGGAAAGTCACAGCTGAATCCTCAGCCTTTCCTGGTGAGCACGGGTGCTTCAGCCCTGCACCCCCACAAATGGCCCTTGTCCTTTCAGCTCTCCTGTAGAGAGCCCACTGGAGAAGGGATCGTAGGCAAGGGGTCCTGAACGCCTTCTGTGGGAAAGGCACTGTTGTAAACTGAAATATGACAAGTGTCTGAAAAGATATGTATGGTTTAAATAACAATCGCAAAAATGACACCGCACCTTCCTACTACTCAAGTCAAGAAAGAGAACATTGATATTCCCAAGAAACTCTGCTGCTTTTTCTGTTCTGTTATTTGTTTTACTTTTCTTTTTAAAGGCCTATGGTTTTGATAAAATTAATGGGTCTCAGTTTCTCCACTTTTTCAGTGGGGAAGACAAGCTATTCATAGGAACATGGGCGGGATGAAGGAGTGTATGCTCTGGGTCTCCAGGGGAGGTTCCCATGGCAGAGTGTGGCTCTGTGTGGCCTGGCTATACCATGAGGCTCCTGGTTTTACTTTAGAAGTGATGTGCTCAGATCTGAAGATTCCTGCAACCTCAGGTGGGAGCTGGACCCCTGGAGGAGCCAGAATTGAGGTAGACCTAAGAACAAAGAAATGGAAAATTAGTTCTTTGGCAAATGGCACTGCCTCTGCCTCCAGGTGAGCTTCCAGTCAAACAGGATGAAATACTTGCAAGAAAGTCATCCATCGAAGGATACATGAGTTTAAAGGTGCTTGCTTTGAGCATCATGTGGTGGAATCAGAAGCACATGGGATTAATCAGAAATGTCCTGGGGGAGGTAGACATAGAGCAAGATATTAAAGATATTGTTTGGAATGTTAATTACCAAACAAGAGGATTGGGGCTTTCCAAATGGGGAGTGAAATGGGAAGTGCCAAGACCCCTTAGAGACAGCATCCTTTTTGGCTGGAATGGCAGTTGTTTTCCCAGCCCTGTAAATAGTCAAGGACAGTGGAGGGTGCTGAAGAATGGTGAGGTCACCTGTTTTTATCCCACCTGTACTTAATGTGAGGGGGCAGGGGTCCTGAGGCCTGGGATTGCCCCACTCCCACCCCTTCTGTCTTCAGTAATATTTAGAGCAGCCCTGTACATGGGCTCAGGAGGAACTGGTGACTGATGGGAAAGCATGTGGCAAAAGAATCTCTCTGTTCTCCTGCCACATACTGGGTTCTAGATGAATTCCCAGCTGCCTAGTTCTAGTGGGAACTGTCTTGCAGGCTCAGTATTTACAGAATGTCCTTCTAATTGTGTCTTAACTGCCAATCCCAGTAACAGGAATCTCTCCCTCAACAAAGAATGGAAACATCTGATAG